AATTACAGTGAATGTGTCACTTCCTGTGACTTGGCAAATACAGAACTAAGAACTATCTGTCAGTTATTTTTAGTTTAAAGCTGAGTCATACAATCCACTATACAATTAAATACTAAAGAAATAAACAAAAATGTTCCATTCCTCAAAGTACTAAATATTTAAAACAGCCTCCTGGAAAAGGAGGAAACAGGGATCATATGCCATGATCAGAGTTTCACTGACACAGTGCTACAATAGAACATTTTGCCTCCAGAAACAGAGACTATACTGGCAGTCATTTAAAGTTTGATTGTTTTAAAATCCCATTAACAACTCAAAAGATTTGCCTTAAAATATGAAGTTGCTATTAATCAGAACAAAGGCTAGGGAAGGTACTGGGTAGACTTTCTTGATGATTTCAATAGTCAATCGGCCTTTGAATAAAGCAGGACAAATAGTGAAAAAAAAAAAAAAAAGAAAAACCACCTTTTTACATTATGCCCTAGAGTGACTTTATAATGCTTGTATCCCCAATCACCTGTTCAGTTTATACTGGATATTAAGTTCTGCACCTTTTAGATAAGCTCCAAGAGCAAAGCAGACAGAAGAAGCCCAGAGTTTATTTTCAACGACTGCACTTGCTGCTCCACACCCTGTTCCCAGATTGTGTTGTCTGCAGTGGACAGCAGCAGAGAGATCTCCTTTGCTTTTAGTTAGGTTTTTTTTTTGTTGTTGTTGTTTTTGGGGGGTGGGGAGGGGTTTGTTTGGTTTTTAGGGTTTTTGTTTGTTTTTGGGTTTGTTTTTTTCTTTAGCTAGCTGAGGCAGAGAAGCTCCCTGGACTGGCTCTGCTCTGAAAATCCAGAAGAACACCAGGAGCTCACACCTGTGGCTCATCAGGGTCAGGATGCAGCATTTTCCAGCAAAGAAGGGACTGAGTGAGCCGAGCTACACCCCACAACAAGGACTTCCTGAATTTGCCATCTCTTCGGAATGGCGCAAGATGTTTTATTGTTTAATATTATTAATTTTTTATGCTTCTGAATACTTTGCTTGTTAAATAAACAGGATTTTTTCCACTTTTCTCAAGGAAATCTTTTCCCGAACAAGTTGGGGAAGGGGCCACTTGAATCTGTTTTCTAGAGGCACCGCTTTGGAAGTTTCCTCCCAAATTTGCCCTAAACCAGAAGACATTAGTATTTGCATTTCACCTCTGAAGGGAGACACTTCCTGAAAGTAAGCAGTGAATGGATACGAAGCTGAAGGTGTAAGTGGCAGCAAAGAAAACAAAATAAGAAGAAATTATAAAGATACATTAGCACTGGAATGGGAGCTGAGAGAAGTAGAATCCCCAGTCCCACCTGGCCTACTCTCAGTTAGCCTTGCCTTAAACGTTATAATTTTCTTTTCATAGCAAAACAAGAACACCAGAAACATGGAAAACCAACAACATGTTGGCACAGAACAAATTTAACAGCTTTTACTGGTGTTTTCCTTGTGGCTAGTCAAATTAATAACCCTTCTGTTCTCTACAGTCAGCATTTCCTAGAACTGCACTGTTGGTATAGGAGTATAGACTACTGAATAGGCACCTATGTACAGACCTGTAAATTTAAATACCCTAAATCATCCTACACAGAAAATTCCATGTCTCAGCTGGCCATTCTGGGCTCCCTCCATAGCACATGGAAAGATGCAGGCAGTTCAGATCCTAATTCAAATGCCTCATTACAGATGCCTACCTTCAAAGCATCTCTTTTGCTCTAAGAAGGGTTTGCTATAGAGTGGCTACCGGACATCATATTTAGATAAATCCAGATAAAGTTCTTGAGCTCATGAGCCCACTAGGCTTCTTAATGTCCCTTGGACACAATCTAATATAATACAATTAAGCTGTTTCAAACATTTTCCTAAACATAAAAAAGAATGTTGTATTTTCCCTCCTGTCCTCTATTAGAGGTATCTTAAATGAAGCTTACAATAGGCCAGAATTATTACCCAGCATTAACAATGCTCTTGTTTCTGTTGAGTAGCACCTCGAATTGTGTTCTCTTAGGTAACTGAAGTCTGGCAGTTGCTAGATGATTACAATATTTTGTACTTGTACTCCTGTGCCTTAACATATCATTTACAAGCAGAACTCTAAGAACTAACTCCAGTAACTGCTTTAAAATATATAAATCATTAAAGGCATCCAGGGCTATTGTTATCACTTATGGCTCCAGGCCTTCCACAAAGTAAATTAAGTTATTTCAAACAATGAAGAGCAATTCAATCACAAGATCTATAGTAAAATTAAACAGATACAGTGAACTACCACAGTAGTAAAATCTGTAAGAAATTATATATGCACTAGACTTCTAAGAACTCTAATGTTTCCAATTAACAAAGTTCTCTGTGGTTTCAAAGCTACTTGTTCCAATCTTACTTTGTTTCATTGAAGTAAATTGATAGCTTCCGTTTTTCTCATTAGCTAAGCTATAAGGCACCCACTTTTACTTTTTGCCATAATCTCTGCAATTGGAGGCAATGACTAGAGTATAATCTATTCTACACACAAATCTCTTCTTAACGTTGTAAACCATGATACACAACTAAATGGAGAATTGGCACGAAAATGAAAACACTTCAGGAATGCAGGGAAGTTCAGAGAATAGGGAAGTATTCCTTATACAATGTATTTAAAGGCTGAGACTATGGGTGGATGTTTCTCAACACTACAGGTCAAAGACACTATATACTCCAGGATCAGCTCATCTTGTATAAAGAGGCCTGGTTCTGACCTTGCTCCACGTTGAGGTATTCAATGCAGGTGTACATGGGGATTGCTGCCATGAGGAGAACTTCACTAAAACAACCCACAGAGAAATATTGAGTCTGGGAAATTCAAAGTAATTCATACTTACTCGTATAGCTTAATTTCGTTCAAAAATCTCCTCCTCAGTTACTATTAATCTTGGTAGGCTATACAAATATTTCATAGGTACTAACTAAATTTCAAAAGTCAAGGATACTTTGAGCTACCTACTGTTGTTGCAGCAGGGCTCACCTTAGAGTTAGAAATGAGACAAGACACACATTCTTGTTCAACAAGAAAAGGGTCCCAGTTTATTCTCCCCTACAACTCAGCTTACAGACTGCAAATCCTCACTGACTCTGACTACAACAAGCTGCCACTGTAGGCTTCCCTTGCAGACTCAGACTCACCCTACAGTAGCAATTGTCTCTCCTCTTTGTTCTATCTATCTATCTATCTATCTATCTATCTATCTATCTATCTATCTATCTATCTATCTATCTATCTATCTATCTATCTATCTATCTATCTATCCTCCCTTCTTAGTCATCCTCTGGACCATTCCTTCCATTTCCCATTCCTCAGGCTCCCCCTTTGAGGAGCCAACCCATCCTTGAATCACACTCCTCCTTATTGGATATAGCTGTGACCTATTAAAGGTGAAGCTGGTTTGGTAATTAACACAGCTGTGACTCATCAGGGGCAAGGTTGCCTGTAATCCCTTCTCCTACATATTGTTAGAAGAATAATACTAGCAGACCAAGCAAAGCTAATGGGCATTTTGACACTGATCACCCAAAGGCCAGGTTTTTTGGCACTACTGCAGTTAAGGGGTAAAATTGATCTATCGTACTATCTAACCCTAAAACTTGTCAGTTTAAGTTCTTATTAGTCAGCAGAAAGAAACAGTCTTGGAAGTCAGTTCTCCTCACATAGCCAGGCTAGGAAGAGATGAAACAAGACATGCATTTCCTCTTTCTCTCTATTGACCAAAATGTCTGGATGATAAACTTAAGTTTACCTATCTAAAATTAGTAGAGGTGGATGTCACCTTCAAAATGTTTCAGGTTTTTAATTTGGTAACTTCCAACATTCACAGAATCACTGTTTAATTAGGAAAAGTGCCTCTCCTATATACTGTAAAAGAGATTCCACTGGAAGCAGACTATATCTTGTATGATACAGGAGTTTTACATGTTACCTGTTAAATACAAATCAAAGTATTTGAACATTTAGACAACAAATATCTGTGTTTTTCAAGGCAATCAAGTTTTTAGAAGCTAATAGCTGCTTTGCCATTAGAAAAATCCAAAACCAGAGCTGTGAAGACACTGCCACACACTAAGGAAACAAAATTATAAAACATGCAATACACTGGATGTGTGCAGTATAGGACCTGACACTATGATATCCTTGACACTTTCCCCAAAATTTCATTTACAGAATTTAACTTAGTTTGTGCTTAAAAAGATTCCTTATATGGAGGTAATGTTGAAAATAATACATTTTTTCATTATCACTCATTATATTTGCTAAATGCCTTTTCCTCAGTGTTAAGATGAGCCACATACAATATTAAGACAACCTCTCATAGTCAAAAGCAGTGCTAGAAATCTCACTTCAGAATTCTTATCTAAGTTTGGAACTGATGAGCAACAAACCCAGTTTTTCAATACAAGTATTTCATCTATAACATATTAAGCATAATTCATAATAGAAACCTAGCTACAGTATTTTCACAATTAAAAAAAAAAACCCTAAACCAATACTAATATTTCTGAATTAAGGATAAAGTATTATATGCATTTTCATTCAAATTATTTGCAAAGATTTATTTATTTAGCAGTCTACCACTTGAAAAGAATATTCTCTAAGACTATAGATGGGAAATGAAACAAAATGTGAAACCTATCCTTGAATAGTTAAATTAGTTGTTTTAAAAGCCTCTGTACCACTGCAGTTTCTCTGCTTTGAATTTACATTCCAACATCTCCGTACAAAAGGTCAAAAGCAGTTTTGACAATGATAACTGCCATCAACCTTTGTTAGTTGTTCCAATTTAATGCACTGAAAACTTTTGTGGTTCCAAATCATCTTCCTCCCCTTCATCCTCAAACTGATATAGTTCAATTGTCTTTGGTGTGACTTACATCAAATCAATACACATCCTTATCATTTTTATGACATGTTCAATAAAAGTATTCCAAAATCTGAAGAGCTGACTTACCATTTTCTTCCAAGTACATCAGAAGGATGCTGCTAGATTCAGTCCCTTCTACAGCATAATCGAGGGCAATATTTCCATTTACATCTTGTAGAAGCACATTTGCTCCAGCCTACAGACAAGAATTAAAAGCACTTTAGTTTTTGTACTGAAATCTCAAAACACAACTGGAGTTCTTCCACCATCCCATTCCAAAACATTTCAAAGCTGACGTTCTTAGCAGGCTGATTATAACCTGAAACAAAACTAAACACACACACAAAAAAGCAAAGACAAAATGAAGCACTCATGAATGTCAAAAAACTGGCTTTGTTTGAGACAGCTGACCCTGTTGCCACACTAGCTGTCCAGTCTGGCTTTGCTACACAGATGTCAGAGTTGCTCATCAGTGAGTTTTGGAACCACCACCATTTGCAGCAAACACTTTAGAGTCAGCTGTCACTGACTACTCTGCCTTAAAACGCTCCACCAGTACCCAGCAGTGGCTCCAAAGCTGAGTGACAAGCAGCACAGACACGCCTGCAGCAGGGATGGGCAGACAGCTGCTCTGGGTGACCTTGTCAGCTGGCCTGACCTCCCAAGGCCTCATCCATCAATCCAACCTCAAAGACAACCATCCATTGCTAAATAAAATTGCCATTTGTCACCAACTAGAGACAATGAAAGTGAGCTTGATGATTTCAACTGTAGTCTCTAAAGAAACCAGGCTGAAATTCCTCTAAGTTTCATTCAAAATTCAACATAAATGAGTAACAACTAAGAAGAGCCCTTGGGAGTGAGGGGTGGTGAAATGAACAGATTCATGAGAAGCTTGAAAAGAAATCACCAGCATGATAAGAAAACTTGTATTTTCTATGTTAAACATTATTAATGTAAGCATTTGTAGGGAAATACATATATTTTTTTAAGTAAGAAAGTTCTCATCCTTGAAAATATCATAAGTGTCTGGTGGGTATAGAAGCTTGCATTACTAGTGTTACATCATTAGAAGTTACATTACTAGTGAATTGTCATGTATCTTCTTTAAAAGGTTGTAACATTAAATAATTTCAAATTTCTCTCTATGGTTTCTAATGGCAAGGAATTATGAAATAAGTGTGACCTCAGGTAAATTTAATTACTTTTCTTAACAGCTTGTATGATAAAGAGTTTAGCTAATAAAAATGAGAAGTACCAAGAACTGCCTTTCTCAAAACCACAGCAGCAGAGGTCAAATGTAATATGAAATTATTAATAGAAGACATGACTGCTTTTTTCAGGAGCTTTCTCTGTAAGTATTGTATCAAAGAAAAATTGCAATAGTCTCAGGTCCTGGCTCATAATAAAATATGACACAAAAAATGAGCAAGTTCATGTAGGCTTTATGTTATCAAACTTGAAGCTGAACTGTTAGTCTGTGATCTGAGTTTCCAGCACAGTGACCAGAGGACAGATAGGCATCAAAAAATGACTCAGCTGTCTCAAACATCACTTACATCCTATTAGACCATATCCTACATAGCAAAATAATCTGTCCTCCTACAAAAGGCACTATTTTCTCCTAGACTTATCTTGTTTCATTGACTGTAAGAGGAACTTAGAGAGCAAATTTAGATTAGATGTATATCTTCTGAATTCCTTCTTATTTCGAGCGTTGTGATACAACTGATGATTCCCAAATGAAGAATACATCTACCTACCATTACTCAAAAAAGAACAAGGGTCCAGGAATCTCCATTCTGAAGAATGTGTCCTTATTAAAAGATTTAAAATTATTTATTTCCTTCTGTCACTCTGAAATCCACAATAATTTTTGTATCAGCAATCTGGTGAAACACATATGAAAAGCTGTGGGCTTAGACCTTTGGCCATCTCCAATATTCAGGGACAAAGTTCTACCCACTGGTCTGTATGTCCAGAAACTCAATGCCATCACAACAATATGGACAGCAGTGTAATCTGATATAGGCATTGTTTGAGGACTCCTAACTTACTGAGGTTCTATAAGGACCTGGGAGAGATTTGGGGCATTTCTCTGCCTAGGTACTGCCTCTTGCTTACCTTCTCAGCTAAGATGTCACAGGTGTTGCACCCAGACAACATTATGCTCAGAAGGGTTTCCTGGTGGAACTGTTTTCAGAACCAGTCAGCATCAATTCACTTTAGGTGGAAATTGGGCAGATTCCTGAAAGTCTGACTATCATTCAATGAAATTCTTGAAAACCTTTCTTCTGTTGCATACCTTAAATTATTCTCTCAAACCTGTGGGCCAAGCAGGTTATTTAAATATTTGAAATAACTAAGTAATTTAGCTTTATTCACATAGTAGAAAGTCCCAGGTGCGTTATAAAATATTTTAATACAGAAATGATGACCCAGCAATTGCCTCTGTCACCTAGGATTACCACCACTGGCTTCATGAGTTTTTATGTAGGCAATCAGAAATACAGTAGACCCTGAGGAATATGTGAATATGTGTGGATATTAGAAAAAAAATTAAAAAAATAAAAAGGACAGAGGCAGAAAAAAAATTAAAATAACTGTTGCTATGGGGAAAAAAAACCAAAAAACCAAAAAATTATCCTAATAGGAGGCTTCTACACAGTTCTTACAATAGTTCAGTTGTTCTACAACATGATAGCTGTATGCAAATTGTGCAGTCACCTGTCAACCCCATCACAAAACCTGACTGATTTATACCTACTTATATTCTTATATTAGTAATCTATTTTTATTCAATTCCACATATTCCACATATTTATAACAGTATACATTTATATATATGCAAATGTAGAAACACCTACATAGTATTCTCTCATCCATGTTCATCAGTTTCCTGCAGGTTAGCGTTATTTTCATTAACAGCTTGAACAATTCACTTTTTTGTATTTTTTTTTTTAATATAACCACATGATTTACAAACCACACCATTTTATAAAATGTCATTAACCATGCACACAGACCAAGATTAAATTTAGTTCTTCATAAAACATTTGTGGTCTTTCACTTCCTGTGACAAGCATAGTTTAGTTTTTCCCCCTTTATTGACCTACTTTTTCACACTCATTCCATGAAAAGGATTTTGCTTGAAGGCTATCCAAGGTTTGACACAGACACACCTGCATGTTCTCGTGTGTGCCATAGCTACTGTGCTAATCCTACATCCTTGCCAAAGTCCTTAGTACACAAACAATTAAAAAGAAGGCAAAAGTAATCAGGATATAAAGCACTACTTTTTTGAGAATAAGGAAACATACAGGAAATCCCACATGCTCATGGGCTCCATGGTGCCATGCAATCTTGTTCTCCAATCTCAATGGCTTGCATAAATTTTCATTCAAGATGCCAAATCCCACAAATCTAGCTAGCTCCTCTTTGTGGCTCCTATTAGACTTGTTTGAATCTCATTCATTAACAAAGCAAAAGGAATAAAATTGCTCTACACAGCGTTGTGGTTTAGGTCATTAGCACTAGATACCACTTTACACAAATTCACGATGCTGAACAGATGAGGAACAGTTCTCAAGGCAAAGCTCAAAAAGAAAAAAAACAAAAAACCAAAAAAACTCCAAAAACTAAGACTTCACCACATTAGCAAACCACAGACAACGAAATAAAAGATTAAGTGAGATTGAGCAGCTGCTCTCAGTTCAAATGCATGTCTTCCTTCCAACTCATTTCAACAACAGATTTTCTGTAGGCAGGAAATTATTTCACAGAAATCATAATAAAGCTACTAGAAGAGCTGGGGAAAAAAACGGTTTTTAATTATTACAATTATAGATCCTCTGACAGTTCCCCTACCTGCTGCCATCATAATTGAGTTTTGCCTGCTTAGCAAGAAGAAAACTGACAGACACAATCTGAGTAACCTCTTTTGTGTTCTCTTTATGAACACAAAACAATCTAGAAACTATTTCACTAAATCTAAATATTGTCTCTTAGAACACTGATTGCAGTTTTAATACTTTCATTTTAACTTTTTTTCCACATTAGTCTTTAAGGAAGACCCCTCCCTATGACACCATAGATTCTTAAGGTATTTGGGAGATAGAAAACAAGTATATACACACTCCAGAGTAAAGAAAAGATTCCTGTTCCAGAACAAAACGTCAAAAGAAACCCATGTAAAGAGCTTATTCAGGACTAGAAGTCTACCATACAGGATAGCTATTTCTAAATATTTACTTTTACTCCTCCCCCTGGGCTTAACAAAGAAATGAAAACATTTATAAGCTATTTACAAAGATATGTAAGTTCAATAGATCCCATGGCAAACAGTACAGCACCTCAAAGCTGCTCTAGCTTCAGTTTTGGCTTTATTTACATTTAATGTAGCTTGTCAAAAGAAAATGGAAAAAAAAAAAAAAAAGGACAACATACTCCCCTAGTGGAAGACTAGTGTGTATGATAGAAAATCATTTTCCAAAAGGGATATCTGCTGCAGAGCTAACCCTAGCAGCCTCCTTCCTTTCATACATCTTGAAGAAAAGCAAGTGGAAATTTCACCTGTACAAAAACAATCTTTTAAAATCCTGTTCTTCATCCTTAATCGGCAATTTCCACCACTGCAGTCTAAGGTGATATTTTATTTAATGGGAATTTCAGTAACTCCAGACTGATGACTTGACCTTCAAAGTATTATGTTTTACAAATAATAAACTACGTCTTCTCTTGGGCAGTTAAGTTACTTGCAGTTAGTTAAGTTCCACATCAAAACACCACCATCCCTCAACCATAATGGATGCCAGACCTAGGCATCATAACTTTTCCAAAACAAATGGTTTTCATCAATTAATTCTTATGTATTGAAACCTGAACTACTAAAAGTATTGAAGAAATGCAAACAGAGGACTCATTAAGTGGGAGTTTCCAAACTGAAAATATTTTCTTCCTTACTTTCCAAAGTGTCTCTTAGCAAAATAATCTGAACAAGGACCCAAACTCCATACCTATACATACAAATGCAGAACTAAAATCTGTGGATCACAAATCAAAGTAACAACTCTTAAGCACATTTTTAACAAATTAACACGTTTCATGCATGCCTTATATGGGCTTGTGTAGCTTTAAGGAAAATGCAAGGAAAAAATCCTCCTGCTCAGCTGATTTCCTTCATAGTAGGACATCACG